TGGGTTGCTTACACGATGTCCATGTGATCGGCGATGTTCCAAGGTAGAACATAAACCCTATCGCAACAGATTCTTCACCGCTTGTCCATGGCTCTCCCTTGGACTTTGCATTTATCTACTCAATACACCAACCGAGAATGCCAAGTCCGGTCGAGTATGAAGAAGATACCTTAAGCATTCTATGGTGCTTTGATACGATGTTGCATCAATCTCAGGCTTCTCCTCTGCCTTCGATATTTTCAATCTTGTATACATCGGAACATGAGTTAGATTGCATGAGTCCATCTCTGTGTTGATTAGTATACATTTCGTGTATCCTCCTTGTTTGATTCGAATGCCATCAGCTCCTTGCATTACCTCTATACCAAGATAGTATGTAAGCTTTCCGAGGTCCGACATCTCAAATCTTCTTGACATATCGTCTTTAAATTGTTTGATAACTTTGAGTGAAGTCCCTGTTACGAACAAATCATCGACGTAGATGGTTATGAGGAGAAGCTCCCCCTTTTCTCGCTCTTTAGATATACTGCAGGTTCCTTAGTGCAATTATTGAACTCCATCTCCTTGAGGACACAATCAAGCTTGATGTTCAAAGCTCTCGGAGATTGACGTAAACCGTATAGTGCTTTGCTGAGTTTGTACACATGATCCTCCTTCTCTTTCTCCACAAAGCCTTCTGGTTGAGTCACGTATACATCCTCGTTTAAGTCTCTATTCAGGAACGCAGTTTCCACATCTAAGTGATGGATGTCCCATCCATTACTTGCTGCCAAAACCAGAAGTAGACATATGATTTCTATTCGAGGCACTGGTGCAAATACTTCTTCGAAGTCTATGCCTTGTTGCATGTAGCCTTTTGCGACTAGCCTTGCTTTTTATTTGATTACCGTTCCATCTGCATTCCTGTTGATCTTATTGACCCACTTCAAACCTATCGGTTTCACACCTGCTGGCTTCTTGACGAGCATCCAAGTCTTGTTTTTGATGATAGATTTGATATCCGCCATCATCGCATCTATCCATGCTTGTATCGATGCAGCTTTGATGTAACTTATGGTTCACCATCTATGGTGAGCAAGAGTCTACCACCTTCAATTTCAGCGAGTAGAATGTAATCATCAAACCACTTTGGTTATCTGATGTTACGGCCATATCTCGATGTTACATGCTTGTCTTGGCTCGCATCGTTATTATCTGCTACTTTCTCTTGTTCACCTGCGTCTACAGCTTCTTTTTCTTTGTTATTTTTTTGCTCTTCATGGTGTTGGTAATCTTGATGATCATCACCATCTTCTTCTTCTATAACATCGATATGAGGAAAGTTGAAAGTTCCTGGTTCATCGTTTGTATTAATCATTGTAGTAGACCAGTCCCAACTCTTCTTCTCATCGAATATTACGTCTCTACTAACAATAATCTTCTTCGTGACAGGATCATAGAGCCTATAAGCTTTTGAACCAGGTTCTGTTCTGAGATTGATCACCATCCTTGATCAATGATCGAGCTTTCTGACATGTGGAGCATTGTTTTCTGCAAAAGCTACACATCCAAAGACTCTTAGATGCTCAATGTTCGGTTTCTTAACATATAAGCCTTCGTATGGTGTTTTATTTTCCAAAGCCTTTGTAGCAATGCGGTTGATGAGATACGTCGAATGACGCACTGCCTCACCCCATAGTTGATTAGGAATCTTAATTTTTTGCATCAAGCTCCTTGTCATCTCCATTAGTGTTATATTTCTTCTCTCCACCACACCATTTTTTGTGGTGTATACGGTGCGGTGAGATGTCTAGTTACACCATTTTCTTCACAAAAATGAATGAACTCAGAAGATGTGAACTCTCCTCCTCTATCCGTGCGAAAATTTTTGAGTATTAGCGTCATTTGATTCTCCACGTTCTCCTTGAACTTTTTGAACTGATCCAATGCTTCAGTCTTCTCTCTTAGCAGCATCGTCCACATATATCTTGAGTAATCATCAATTACGACGAATACATATCTATTGTTTGCTGGTGTCGGTGGTGATATCGGACCGTACAAGTCACCATGTACCACCTCTAATGCGTGTGATGCTCGATACTTTGCTTTAGGCGGGAGAGACTTCTGAGTTTGCTTCCCAACTAAGCAGGCACTGCAAATGCCTTTCTCGTATCACTTGAGGCATTCCTACTATCATCTCCTTGTCTACCATATTCTTCATGACTCCAAAGTTCACATGTCCAAGTCGCGCATGCCACTTCCATGTAACACCAGTTTCTTGTATTTGAAGACACTTCAGATATTCAATCCCCATTGGCGTCTTGTACAATCGGTTTGGTGATCTCGAGACTTGTACTAATAGCTTTCCACGGGGGTCACTTAGCATTAGCAAGTCTCCTTTCATGTTAACCTCACAACCCTTCTATGTTACTTTTCCAAGACTTATGATGTTGTTTTTTAGACTACGAATGTAGTAGATGTCTTTGAGTGCTCTTCTCTCCCTTGTTTGTCCGATGAACGTGATCGAACCTTTCCTAACAATCTCGACGTTTGATCCATCGTCAAATTTTACTTTGCCATTGATGCTCTCATCTAGGTTTGAGAAGAACTCTCTTTTGCCTATCATATGGTTACTTGCACCATTGTCAAAATACCATATAACTCATATTTCCATCGCCTTCGTCAAACCTTTTAGGAAACACTATCTCTTCGTTGAACAATACTACTTCATGCATATATAATGCATCTGCTTCTTGTGTTTCTGGTAGGTTTGATTCTTCTTTTAGTCGTGTAGGACAATGTGACACGAAGTGCCCCATTTTGTCGCATCTCCAACATTTAACCCAGAATAGTCCTTAGTTTTTTCTGAAGGTTCTCCTCCTTTGTTATGACTATAAAGATTATTGGATATGACTCGTCCTCTTCCTCTTCCACCATAACCTCTAACTCGTCCTCGATAATTGTTATGGCTTCCACGACCTTTCGTATCATTCTTCACAAACATTAGTTTTGATTGATCTTCATCTTAGGTTTCTTCTTTTATGCGTTCTTCAAAAGCCTTCTCTCCCAACAATATATTTGAAACCCGTTGAATTTAGATCATGCACTTGTTCTAACAAAGCTACGTTGTGAATGAACTTCGTTCTTGAAAGTCCCTACAGAAACTTCTTTACAATCTTTGATTCTTCCATCATTTCTCCTAACGCGGCTGCTCTCGATGCTAAGCCTGAAAATTTTCCTGCACAGCCATCAACCGTGTTTGTATCTGCCATCTTCAGTTTGTCGAACTCAGGTATCAAAGTCTGTAACCTCGGTTCTCTCACGCGTACAGCACCTAGGTTACAGGATCTTATAGCTTCCCAAATATTCTTCGATTTATCATGTTCTCATATCTGAAGTATTAGCGCCTCCGGGACTAATTGAAAGATTAGAGCAATCGCTATATTGTTCTTCTTTTGATCATCAGAACCGGGTTTGATCGTGTCCCACACTTCATGAACACGAAGTAACACCATCATCCTCATCGACCAAACTGTATAGTTTGTCGTTGACAGCATCGGACATTGGATGGATGCGGATCCAAAGTCCTTCGTGCATGGAGTCCTATTCACGTCAGCCATCTTGCCTTCGTGCATGGAGTCCTATTCACGTCAGCCATCTTGCCTTCGTGATGTGTGTTTCACAGCCACCAGGATCTTCGCTTCAACTCAAGCTTAGATCGAAAATTCAGCTTAAGCTCTAATACCAATTAAAGTTGTAAGAACACACAAATTATAAAAACTACCTTCTTTTTAGATTTAGAAACTCTCTCAAAACTAAATCATTATGTTTTATTTAAGGGATGCAACTTTTCTACAACTCCTTATATAGGTCGAAACTACTTCTTAACTTAATAATAATAGTGAAACATTTCTTTTTTGATTTATTGCCTATTTCTTTAACTTACTAAATTTCTCTTTAATAAATTAACTTTCTCTTTAAGTTAATTAGAATTATCCCACAATTACTTAGCAAATCTAAACTTAAGTTTCAGTTTATGAAATTTACATGATAATCTAGTAACAGACAGTCTCCTATCACTCGACTTAAATATATTTTAAATTTAAGCCAGTCAGTGTAGTGTTAGTATCCAATTCAGCATCAAATATGTTTCCATCAGGCCGATAGATCAGCCAATATGACAATAAATTTAGTTTTTGTGAAGATTATCTACAGTTTTTTTTTTGTCAAATGGAATCATGCAACTATATATGCTTCTCTCTACATAATTAGCAGAACTAGATGCATTTTCTGCGCTACGCGCATATCATATATTGTAAATTATTTTTATTTTATTTTGGACAACTATGTTAACTATTTTTATGAATTTTATATTTTTAAAAATAAATTTTAAATTTCCATAATTTATAATAATTAGATAATGTAATTTTTGTGAAAACATGAATTGTAAAAATAGGATGATAATTTATGAGAAAAAAACTTTCACGAATATGAAAATATGAGAAAAGTAGATTGATTTTTTTTCTATTTATCTGAAACTCCAATTTTTGCCTTTAATTTTCCTTAAAAAAACTTTGAATAAGATATGTAAGTTTATTTGTAATATTTGATGAAAATTTATATTCTGGAAGTGTATCTATTTTTATAGACTGACTAATATAAATTTAGAGTTGGTTTGTTTTGTGACATATTTTAGGTGATAATTTAAATACTTCATAATTACAATGTATATATTTTTATTATTTAAAATTCATAATTCGTGAAGAATCATTTTATTTGCAATCTAATAGAATACTTATTATAGTATTTTCAATAGATGGCTTAATACAATTAACAACAACTTGATACTATATAATATTATAAGATTTTATAAGTAACGTAATGTTGTTATTCACCCTTTCAGAATTACATGAAACCTTTGTCTAAGTCCTAAACACTGCATCCTATTAGGAAGATGGTGAGATTTTTAACTTCAATATTTAGAAATAAGTAAACAAGTTTGCTAGAAAAAAATAGTGATAATAGAAGTGAAAATCTATTCAATGGTTCGAACATCTCTTTTCCACCTTGACCTTGTTCTGCCCAATAGTACTTCACATTTTTTAGCTGCAGAAGATTTTATCATCCGCACAAGATTCTGAAAAAAAACTAATAATTAAATTTTATTCTATTTTGTAACAAAATAAACAATTAGATTAATGATAAATTTCTTATCAGCAATATTGGAACACACTGGAGCACAACAAAGTGGCTAATACCTTTTTCAAAAAAAAGTGGCTGATATGTAAACCAAAAACAACATATTAGATAAACTACTAAACAAAGCAAATCAACTTTAGTTCAACCAAAACAAAAACAATAAATGTGATTTTCTTTAAAAATATATGTATTACTATATATTATATAATAACTAAACTCAGTTTGCGTATTCATTCGGTATTTTAAATCCAATATGACCAAACCAAAATTAAGAAAAATGGAACCAATCCAAATTTACTTAGTTACAATTGTAGAAAGTGAATGTTAATGTCTGAAAAATGTTAAGAATGGAGGTTAAATGATGGGAATGTAAAGTAAGTTTTGAATTGATTAATGTAGAGAAATATTACCTTTATATTTTGTTAATTTCAAAAGTATAATATATAATTGTACAGAACATTATTTTAATTGCTTTGTATAGAATTGTAGGAGTTTTATTTCTAAATCGTTTCAATTAAGTAAATTCCATAATTCATTATTTTTCTTTTTTTGTAAATAAATAAAATATCTATTGTTTGTTCTCTTGACATATACAAACTACAAAAGAATAACAACAAGAATCATATTTTGATCAAAAAAATGGAACTAAAGTATTTTGTAAAGATGCAAATTACCGCATAATATCATTTTATTATTTACTATATATTTTTGATAATTTTGATATGAAATTTGTTTTATATACTTATGGAAAGATGGTCGACATTTGTTGACCCCATAACAAAAGATAAGTCGAAAGCATCTTTTGTTGCTTACTTCAACCATGTTTTTAGTCTTTGAGAAAGACTTTATTTTAGATACTGCTATATAAGCGCTTATGCTCAATGTTCAAAGTTGGGTTAACTGGGCTAAAAAGCACTGACGGAAAAAAAAATTGGAGTCCAACACAGAATTCACCCTTGTGACGTGGTAAAACGAAGCATTCTGATTGGCTGATTATTTTTGCGTAAGTGGAAACCCCTCCTTTTGCTAGTATTTAGCTTTTATTTATTTTTTGATTAGTTGGTGAGGTAAGACTCTCTACTTTATTAGTTATAATTGTAACGCACATTTATGAGAATCATTTACATAGTTATTAAGTGTTGGATAATTACACCTCATTACTATGCATAACATATTAGGATGACAGGTATAGTGTGTAGACGAATTAGAGATGTTTTTGACATGCATATGAATGAATAGTAGTTGGCTTTATATTTTAATATTTAAATATGGAAAATAATACTAATGGATTATATATATTCAAGCAGAGTTTATTTTGCTACTTTATTATGATAGTTCTAATGGAAGTAGATGTTAATATTTTTTAAAAATGGTTAAAAGTATATGTTATTATATATGCACGCTTTGCAATTATCTTTTAATAAAACTCAGATAAATAATTACAATTTTTTTCTTCTTAACCCCGTACTTAAATTGGTTTCTGTTAATGGCAAATTTAAATTGAGCTAGTATTCTTGGATTTAAGTTGACAAATCTTACGTTAGTTAGTGTAATTTTGTGTCCAATTTTGTTTGGTTTTCTTATTTAGTATTTGTTTCATGTTATAATGTATCGTAATTCAAGATCGCATCGGACTGGACTCTGGACTTACTAATTGAATGTGTAGAATGTTTAAGTTTGTATATATTCAAATCTATATTATTAAAAGAATACAAATATAAATTCACCCTTAAAACTTACAATTATTAATCACTGTTATTTCAGAAATTAATAATTAATTTCCTAAAACGAATAAAACAAAAAACTTAAATTACATCAAGTCATTAAACCATAAAATGACTAAGCATAATACATGAAAGTAATAAATGACATAAGAACACTTTTAACTGCTCCCATAAAATTACTCACTGAAAGTTTGTTTTCGTTTCATTCTCACCAGTAGCTTAACAGCTGCACTAACCTGTACCAAAATAATAAATTATTTAAGAATTTTATTTTTAATAATAGTTATAATTTTTCTAATTCATAAGCTACGCGGTCATTTATATCACTCTAGCATCAAAATCATAAACTCTTAATATACATTCATTCAAATCAGATTCTTAAATACTTCCAAAACAGATAATCTATTTCCCGAGCCTTGAAAGCTTCCTAAATTGCAAGCCTAACCATAGTTCAACGAATACAAACAAACCATATTCACAAAAAAACCTGTATATATTTGAGCGCAGTTTCTGACTACGGAGTCGATGTATTCATGGATTTGGCTACGTGATGCACGAAGCTTTCCACTTACAATGACCTAAGTAAGCATTTCAAAGGAAAAAAAAATGACTGAGACTTTTAATTATGTAGAGAAGAAATAAAACAATTAGAGAATAGGGATGTGTACTCACCTCACATCCATCCATTGGATTTAAAGACACCATAGCAAGCCCTATACAACACAATATCATTCCAAAATCAGCAAGAGAAATGACAATTACACAACAACCTTAGAGGAACTGCCACTGTCCCTATAAAGAAAATGGCTTGATAACTAAACTAATCACTCTCTCTTCTAGTATATGAACAAAATCAAGTATTAGTTGATGAATAATATTTCGCAGTAAGCATTACAAATAAGCATGACTATACCTGCGAACGGCAAGACCACCGAGGAGCTTGTAACGGAGAGACTCCGACACAGAGATCTCTGTTGGCAACCTTCTCAGCGTAAAGCTCAACACTGTCTACAGAAACTCAACATGGATACAGTTCAAACTACCATTCCGCGAAAGAGATCCACGAGGACAGAAAAGGACACAGTGAAACTCACCTTGCTCTTCTTTCTGAACAAAATCAAGGACCTAACTAAAATAATCATGTTACAAAGCAGGAAACAACCAACTAATAAATAATGAATTTAAGGGGAAGACTGGATTTGCAGTTTTTGGATGTTCACCTCGTTGGGGTAAAGTGCACCATGGCTTCGAGAAGGATCAAAGCCAGTCCAGCCTTCAATACCATTGTTCTCCCATGTTCTTAAGAACTTCTCAGGCTCAAACTCTTGTGGGTTGTCCCAAAAGGATGGAGATCTATGGAGATTGTACACTTAAATGTTAAAAAAAACTAATAAAAATTAAACAAAAGCAGGTTCCACTGAAGAATCATAAACTAATATAGAAAGATATCACTTACGGAAATGAAGATATCAGTCCCTTTTGGAACTTTATGATCATTTTCACCTTTGTATCCTCATGCATACGCAAGACATGGAGAGGTATTAGATATATGAGCTCTGGTCTAAGTCTTTCATTTACCGTAAGTTATATAATCTTGCCTGCCAGTCATCAATATCAACACCGCGTCCGTCGACCAAGAACCGTAAAAGACTTGCATCCTATGAATCCAAGAACATTAAATCAAAAGACTTTCATAACCTTTAGTAAAGATGCAAGAGATAAAAGATAGCAAAAACTTGAGATTAGAGTAGTCACATTGCTGGAGCTACTCTATATCTGTTTCCTGGGAGAAACAGAGATAACAAAGTCAGAAACTGAAGAGTAGAATGAAGAGAGCAACAAGTAGGAAAACACTTACCTTGTCTCTTTAGCGTTTTGAATGACTCCATCAAGGCAATGATTTATAATCTTGAGATCGCTTTGGAACTATCCATCTGGCTGGAGGAAAGTTCCAATACGGAAAGTAGAAAGTAGACCGAGGCTCTGCCTCAGAAAAGAGTTGCATAAACCGCCTGTGATACATAATAAAAACATTCAAGAAGGGACCGGACCAGCTTGCTAATAAACAATTCTAAGAAATAAGAAAAAAAAAAATTACAGAGGAGTCTTTTGTGACAGAGCCAAAGTTGAACACATTAACCCCTCTAATATCAAGAGCCAAACTCGAGAACTCTTCTTCAAGATCCAACTCAATTGTATACTCTCCTCCGCTAGAAATTATTTCTCCCTTAAGAGCTTCTCAGAATTCAGTATCATTTTCTCAGAACAGTCACTGAATGCTTTGACCATGGCTTCCGGATACAATGCATGAACGCAGAAGTTATACCTGCAACCACATAGATCATCAATGGCCATAAGCTCTGCAATAACTGAAACATAGTGATATTAACAAAAACAGCTTTACTCACCTGTTGGATTCAATTTCGGTACCTATCTGAACATGCCCAAGACCATTTGGAATAATCACTAACTCGACATCGAGCCGGACTCTACGAGGTTGAAGAAGAGATTCCGGAGATCGCGGAGATAGTTAGAGGATGAAGGGACTATAAAAAGAGAGCTAGAATGACATTTAACGATACGAGAAAAAATCCTAGAGCAATTCACTAATCACATGACCTCGTTCTTTAGACTCTAGTTCGCTTTCTTGTACTCTTTGTTATTATTTCCAATCTTGTTCATCACCTTGTAAACGAATTCCATATTCAATAAAATTCCATTTTGTCAACCGAAGTCCGATTATATCGTTTTGTTTAAGAGCATTGTTGCCCACATCCTTTGTCTTCCCTTGATTGAACTCTCGATCTCTACAAAATACTGAGTGTGGATTTTAGGATCTACATTTTGGCGCCGAGAGTGGGGAAAATAAACAAAAAAACACTCTTGCTAAGAACCCTATCTAGGATTTCTAAGCACGATTATGGATCCCAACGCAAACAACCCCCAACAACGTCCGATCCGGATCGACAGAAACCGCTCCCAGTGGAAATCCTCTTGGCACCACTCTGATGACCGTCGATCGGGCAAACACCGGTCCAACAGAAAAGCCCTCTAGGGACCTTTTTGGTACCCATCGACCAAGCAAACGTCGCCGAAACCACTAACATGACCCAAAATCAACAGGCTCTGCCGGTCGGAACCTCGATCGTCGAAAGAAGTGTGATCTCAGATCGAAACCCTCCTACTGATCGAATTGGATCTCGAGAATGGAGTCGTACAACGGACAGAACAGTTCCCGATGACCCGATCAGAGCAACGAGACCGAGATCCCTGACTCAATTGGCTCGAACTAAAGACGAGATGGCAGAAATGAGAACGATGCTCGTCATGCTTATCGACAGATCCAGCGAACAAGAAATCGTTCATCGAACCATTGCCAGCAGTTTGGAACAGACCGAGAGAGAAATTGCCGAGAGCCGGGCACATCCAAGGGAAAGAATCTGACAACACTCGGATCCAACCCTCTAAACGCCATTACCTCGAAACCGTGGAGCCTTCGCCTCCCCTGAAATGGCCAGCACCCGATCCGGCCGTTATGCCGGGGAGAGTTCGCGGCAGGTCCAACCTGAAGGAACGATCTATCGAAACCTAGACTACACTGGTCAAGGTGAGGTCTAAAACGGAACACAAGGTATCAGAACGACCCTGATCTCAACTTGGAATAGGCCAGCAAAAACGACCCCACTGCAACATCGAACTCGAGATGACCGATTCTCGTTCGGTAGTGACAAATTCCAACGAGTAGGGACTGCAGCCCACCCAGACCCCGTCTCAACATACGACCCGTTTAGGTCGATGCATGAGAATATGCTAGAGGATGACCAAAGGTCCCCAAATCAAGCAGGAGCATTCAGAAGTTATGTTGAAAAGAATGACGCCGAGCTCAAAAGGATACACGCCATCGTACATCTTGCGACGAGCTCGACCCCCGATATCGATCAAGTCATCGAGGAGACCCGCCGAACTCCATTTACAATCCGAATAACCAGTGTAAGATTACATGATGTCAGAAAGATAAAATTCCCCCAATACTCTAGAAACTCCGATCCAAAAGCGCATGTGCAGGCCTTCCGGTTAGCCGTATCTGGAGAGCATCTCAACGATGAGGAAAAAGAAGCGGGCTACTGCCGTTTCTTCGCGGAAAATCTCACAAGTCCTGCCCTAGAATGGTTCACCGGGCTCGAAGAAAACTTGATCAACGATTTCACCAACTCGTATCGGCATTCCTGAAGCAGTATTCGGTGTTTATTGAGACGCGTGCCACTGAAGCAGACCCATGGAACATCAAGCAAGCGCCCTTCGAACCACTAAGGACCTACATAAATAAGTTCAAAGAACTAAAATCTAAGATATCGAGCCTGGATGAAGTTGTCGCATTGGTAGCTCTAAAAAACGGGGTCTGGTTTTCTTCCAAGTTTAGGGAAGAAATGATGGTCCGAGCTCCCAACTCACTCGACGACGCGTTATATCGCGCATCATACTTTGCAACCCTCAAAGAATAGATATCGGCCTTGAAGGAACTATACCACGCCAACAAAGGAGTAATTAAAAAACCCAATACTCCAAAAGAACAAACTAACAAAGGACAGAATACGCCATAGATTCATCGTCGCAGAACAAACAGTCGACGTACGACACGAGCAAGTACTGCACCTTCCACAAACGAAAAGGACACTCAACCGAAGAATGTCGTGCTGAGCTCCGCAATAAGGAAGAAAACAAAGAAGGCGGTGAGAACGCAGAAGAAGAAGAGACCCCGACGACCAAAAGCAAAAAACAAAGGTAAAAGAGGTAGAGAAGTCGAACCAGCAGCACCAGAATCACCACCTCCCGCCCCAAAGAAAAGAGTCGACATGATCTTGTGGGGATCCGAACATAAAAAAGCACCAAATCAGACTGAAGAACACATAGGCAACGACATCACGATGACGATACAAGGTCCGGTGGAGGTCGATACGACATGTTCTCCTCCCCTCAGGCGAACAACCAAACCCCACCACGAGCCCAAAGGGAGCATCAAGTTCAGTAAAATCCAAAAACTACTGGAGAAACGATACATAAAAAATAGTACAGCCCGCGTTTACTCATACCCAACTTGTCCGGGGGGGCAAGGAAACCACCAGCCGACACTGACCAAAAAATGGAGATTCCCGAACGCACCACAAGAAAAAAAGAAAAAGAATTGATTTCATTTATGGAGGATCAAAGTTCTGCAAGTCAGTCAATTCCATCAAAGCCCACCAACGAAGAACTGAAAGCAGCGCTAGCATACGAGAGCCTTTGTCCGGTCCCAACCACGAAATCACCTTTGACGAAAACGAAACCGTCGACCTCGATAGACCACACGACGACGCACTCGTCATACGACTTGACGTCGGAGGATGTGAATTGTCCAGAATCATGGTAGATACCGGAAGCTCCGCAAACATACTCTTCTACGATGCATTTGAATGAATGGGATTCACCTAGAAATTTCTTAAACAAGAATACCCTCCCTAATCGGATTCGCAAGAGAAACTACCTTTTCACTTGGGTTCATCGAGCTCGATGTGACCGCTGGAGACGTATGAAAGATCGTCGAATTCATCGTCATAGATCAATCCGCTCCATTTAACGCCATCCTTGGAAGACCATGGCTGTAGATCATGAAGGCAGTACCCTCAACTTACCATCAATGTCTGAAGTTCCCTACAGCAAGAGGAATTCAAACCATAAGAGGGAGCCAAAAAAGCTCCAGAACATGCTACATGTCGAGCTTCAAAGTCATGGAGGCGAGTCCATAAGATCGAGCAAGAAGCCCTAAGGAGAACAAGAATTGCATTCACATGCACAAACCAAATCGAAAAACACGACCCAATCCACTGGGAAAATAATCGAAGTGCGTTAGACTTGATCCCTAGACGAAGGTACGTAGGAAGCTCACGATCCGAGTCCAGTCACTCCTCTCAAAAAAATCGCTCACAAAGAGAGCAAACCCGGAAAGGAAAACAACCTATCCATACAGACACACTTTTTTTAACATATAATGTAATTGTATACGAAAGAATCATCTATAAGCAATAAATAAAAATACTTTCACATCTTCTCAAATTTGATTTAACTGCATGAAGAGACCATGATCAAGTCTACAGAAACAGTTAGAATCCCGCTAAAAACACGGCGCATTATAGTAGTAAAAATATTATTCGAACAACACTTATCGACGCGATATCAGTCGAAGTCGATCTACGACCGCGATAATGATAAAAGGTCGCACATTTAGACTGAAATAAAAACAAACGAACCATTATTATTCATAATAATTATTACTCGTCGGGATTACGAGAAAGAAAAAAGAAATGAAAACAAACAATACAAAATTAATTCTAATCTTCGGCGTCGAACTCGCCATCTTCATAACGCTCTCTGTTGCGTCCTTGCTCGCCCCCAGACTCATACTCACCAGGAGGTACCTTAGAGAAAAAAATCCTCAGGTAGATCCTTAGAGACCAGTGGAAGATCCAACTTCCCAACCGAAAATTCTGACACCGCATTCACGTCAAGTTCGGCCCCGAACTCGACCTCCTTAGCTCGAAGGCGCGATAATTCTTCAGAAGCAAGCAGATTATTGTTCATTATTTCCTTAATAAGGTCAATGTTAGCCATGACCTCTTTCAAACGAATCTCACATTCCGTCGCGGCCTTCTTCCTCTCCCACTTCTCCTTTAGAGACACCAGAACGTCTAGATACCCATCAGCCAAAGTCTTTTAGCGTCATAAGTCGCACGGCGAAGCTCCTCCGCATGACTCGCGGTCAGAGATACAATCTGTGACTCCAGCACGGCGACTTGCTCCAAAGCCGATTTCCTTTCATTACTAATGACCCGAAGACGAGCCTCGAGAGAAGCGGTCTGGTTTTCCAATCTCTCGGCCGCTGGCAATTGAGCAACAGTGGTACGCACCCGATCCTGCGCCGTCTTCAAACTAAGTTTCAACTCTCAAACAATCTTCTTGACCTCGTAGAGTTCATTGCCTCAAGGGATATCACGCAAACGCTTTTACAGAGTTGCCACAAACTCTTTGTTTGCCTCCATAGCCTGAACATACATCGGGAATAAGCACAACAGAAAAATAAGAATCAAGGATCGAAAGATCAGACCAACCGACCTTAGCATGAGCAACTGCCATCTTCACGTAAACATCACGCTCATTCATATTCTGCAATGAAGGAAGGGGACACCCCGCCGGCTTGAAATGCCTGACCAAATGAGCCACGATGTCAGAATCATCCGTAATCAGACAATCCTTGGGATGGGAAAACTGCCAATGAAACGGCTTCGTGACCACACCTTCGTTCGCGGAGCCGAGTCGAGCATCACTCCCAGAGATCTTTGCTTTC